GAGAAGCTAGCCTGTCCTAGGTGCACTGTAGGGACCAGGACGAGCCCCTGCTGGGGACTGAACCACTGAAGGATGTGTCCCTGGGGTCTAAGGCCCTAGGCAGCGCCCCACCCTACAAATGGAACAGCACATGGGCCTTTCTTGCTCTGGGCCCTGCAGATCCCTGTGAGAAGCCCCAGGCAGCCCTCCCCAAGCCCTGGCTGCTGTCTCCATTTCTCGGTGCCAAGCAGCTGGAGCCTGGCCCTGAGAAGGGTCCGGATGTCTGGGCAGCCCCTTCGTGGTCCTGCCTGCTGAGGCACCCCCATCTCTGAAGAGCTTCTAAACGCCATCAGGACCTTCCCACTCTTCCTCCTCCCTCTCCTTCCTCCCCGCCCCACCCCAAAACAGGGCTTTGTTCTCAAGAACTTTGGGGGAAAAGATTTATTTTTCTCTTTTATGAGACAGAGTTTCACTCTGTCACCCAGGTTGGAGTGCAGTGGCGCAATCTCAGCTGACTGCAACCTCCGCCTCCTGGGTTCAAGTGATTTTCCTGCCTCAGCCTCCCAAGTGGCAGCGACTACAGGCACATGCCACCACACCCAGCTAATTTTTGTATTTTTAGTAGAGATGGGGTTTTGCCATGTTGGCCAGGCTGGTCTTGAACTCCTGACCTCAGATAAACCACAGCCTCAGCCTCCCAAAGTGCTGGGATTATAGGCATAAGCCACTGCACCTGGCCTCTATTTTTCAAAAGAGTTTCAGGCTTTGTTGTGAGGGCCTTTTCTATTTGAGTTTTTGGGTCCTAACCATCACCTCCTGCTTCTACCCAGAGCTGCCTCCGAGTCCAGCCCGGGGCCTCCAGCTCGGCTCTCCACTCACTCCGCCCAGTCTCCTGAGGGACTCCCTGGAAAAGGGTGCTCCTTCTCTAATAAGTGACTTCCTAAACCTTCCCCAACACACAGAACGTGTGCCCCACTCTCCAGCAGAGAGAGGGAGAACAGATCCGCCCTGACCTTGAGCCGGCCCCATTCCTGCTCTTTCTGTTCCTTGCCTGGTGGCAGCAGGCATTTGCCAGACCCCTTGGATTAGGACAGCACTGAGTGCCATGGGATTCAGAGGGCGCAGCAGGACCCCCAGTCCCAAGACAGATGGCGGATCTTGGTGGTGAGAGGGGACTTACATACTTTTATGTTTGGTTTGAGGGTTAAACAGTTTGTTGTTAAGTGGTAACATACAGAACGGTGAAAGGGCTTTGCGAGTTCGGTGACACGAGGGGCAGTAGGACAGGTCCTTCCCAGAGAAGACGGAGCAGGAGGGGCATCGTGGGTCCGGGGCTGTGGGGAGGAGGAGCTCAGCAGAGGTGCCTGGTGAGGGCGACCAGGCATGCAGCTCTGTAGGTGACCCAGGCTCATCCAGACCAAAGCAGTGACTGGTCGCTTTTGAGCCTGATAAAAGGAAAACTTCAGACGAATTACATTTAAAGGAGTTTGAGCAAAACGATTTGCAAATGAAGCAGCCTTCCGAGGCAGAGTAGACTCAGAGACCTCAGCACAGCCATGTGGTGGAAGAAGATTTATGGACAGAAAGAGGAAAGTGACCACAGAAAACGGAAGTGAGGAACAGAAACAGTTGGGTCGGTTACAGCTCAGCATTTGTCTTATTTGCACACAGTTCGACCACTCGACCACTTGGCTGCATGGAGTTGGCCAAAACTCAGTGACTGGCACAAGTGCAGGCTACGGTCTGTTTACAGCTCCCTCCACCTGTTATAGTTCACAATGTACAGAAAACCCTCTAGACCAAACTTAAAGTATTTGAGGAGGCAGCTCTAGGCTACATTGGATTTAACAGGCCATGTCTACAGACATCTTTGGTTTGACTTGCATAATTCAAAATCGATTTTAAATTTTCATTTTTCGGCCGAGGCGGGTGGATCACGAGGTCAAGAGATCGAGACCATCCTGGTCAACATGGTGAAACCCCCTCTCTACTAAAAATACAAAAAATCAGCTAGGCATGGTGGCGCATGCCTGTAATCCCAGCTACTCAGGAGGCTGAGGCAGGAGAATTGCCTGAACCCAGGACGCGGAGGTTGCGGTGAGCCGAGATCGCGCCATTGCACTCCAGCCTGGGTAACAAGAGTGAAACTCCATCTCAAAAAAAAAAAAAAAAATTTTTTTTCATTTTTCTACCTGTAAGATGTGAGATATCAGAGGCTGGGTACAGTGGCTCACGCCTGCAATCCCAGCGCTTTGGGAGGCTCAGGCGGGTGGATCACCTGAGGTCAGGAGTTCGAGACCAGCCTGGCCAACATGGTGAAACCCTACCTTTACCAAAAATATTAAAAAATTAGCTGGGCCTGGTGGTGGGTTCCTGTAATCCCAGCTACTCAAGAGGCTGAGGCAGGAGAATCACTTGAACCTGGGAGGTGGAGGTTGTAGTGAGCGGAGATCACACCATGCACTCCAGCCTGGGCAACAAGAGTGAAAACTTCGTCTAAAAAGCAAAGAAGTGAGATATCAAACCGAAAGCCAGATTCTGCTTCTCTTAGAACACAATTGATGCATTGTATCAGTGTCCTCAGGCTGTTACAACAAACTGCCACCCACTGAGTGACTTAAAACGACTAAAATGTACTCTAGCCCAGTCCTGGAGGCAGAAGTTCAAAATCGAAGTGTCGGCAGCGCCACGCTCCCTCTGAAACCTGTAGGGGAGGATTCTTCTTTGCCCTGTCCTGGCTTCTGGGGTTGCCAGCTATCCCTAGCGGCCTTGGCTGCAGCTGCGTTGCTCCAATCTCAGCCTCTGCCGGCATGTGGCCTCCCCTCTGTGTGTCAGTTTCTGTGTGTATTCTCCTCTTCTTATAAGGACGCTAGTCATATTGCATTAGGGCCCGTCCTAGTCCAGCAAGTCCTCCTCTAGACTTGACTGATCTTAAAGAGCCTGTTTCCAAATAAGGTCCCATTCACAGGTCATATTCTGCCTGTGCGATGTGCCATGATTTATTTAACCTCTTCTTGACGAGCTTCTGCGTCTCCAGGCTCTGCCTTTAAATGCACCGTGGTAATGGATGAGGTGTACACTCGCCACTTACTGATTACACAGATAAGACTGTGGAAGAAATAGACTTACTGCTATTAGTTAGAAATAAGTCAAAGTGGACAACCTTTCACTTGTGGAAAATATATCTCCAGTCTTCCTGCAATCCTCCACTGACACCATTATCCCTCCCAGCATTTGCCCCTCCCTTTTCCTAACCATTTAAATCTGTTTCACTTCTTAGCCCTCTTTCCAGTCCCTCCCTTGCCCTGAAGTCTTCTTGGATATTTATCTTCGTGGTGCAGTCTTGCTACTGGGAATTTATAGTAGTGATGTTCATGTTGCATATTATGGTAGAAATAGCACATCCATTCCATCCCATTCATCCCATACAATCCCATATATTCCATCCCATCCTAT